ATATTACTAAATTTCGTGTTAATTATTACTACATATTACTACATTTCGTGCTAAATATTACTCCATATTACTAAATTTCGTGTTAATTATTACTACATATAACTATATTTCGTGTATTATTATTACTACATATTACTACATTTCGTGTTAATTATTATTCCATATTACAACATTTCGCATTAGTTATTACTACATATTACTACATTTCGTGTTACTTATTACTACAGATTACTACATTTCGTGTTAACTATTAGTACATACTACCACTTTACGTGTTAATCATTACTACATATAACTACACGTGTATTATTACTACATATTACTACATTTCGTGTTAATTATTACTAGATTTCATGTCAATTATTACTACATTTCATGTTAATTATTACTACATTTCATGTTAATTATTACTACATAGCGGATATTTCCAAAGTCACCTTCGCTGTTCATACGATTACGTCCAGGAAATCGATGGACACAACGTTGTTGTGAATCTCGATGTGTTGACCAATCTGGCCATTCAGAGGGCTATGCACACAGTCATGTGGTCTGCTTTGATAATATCATAGTCACACTACATGGTATCTATAGGTATAAACGCAGTCGTTTTAACAGCGGAAGTGATTTTGGGAAACACCCGGCATACATATCTAAGAAATATGTGTTCAAATAAAGACAAATGAAAATTAGTTTATAACCTACCTGCAAGCCTTGAATCATTGAGTTGACGCAGACTTGGACGGTCTGTAATACATTTGTAATATATCTGTATTTAACTGCATAAAAACTTCAACAAGCTATAACAATTTAGCCAAAGTTATAATTTTTTTCATTATTTAAAGTACACACTGAAAATAAATAATATTTTATTAAGTCGCCAGTCTCAACCGTTAAAAGCTAAAAAGTAATTGGTACAATCTTTAACTTGTCATGCAAACTTTCTGTTGATTAGCTATACAAACTAGTCAAAATATACTTTTACCTTTACAAGCCAGTCGATGTATGAAATTACTTTTATCAACCATTCATTGTATAAACCTAATTTTACAAACAATTTAATATTTTGTTTTCTCTATAAAAGCTACAGTCAACATATCGTTTCATTCATACTAGCTAGTTAATATATTGTTTTTACCTTTACAAACCAGTCAATGTACAAGCTCACCTTTACAAGTAAGTTAACTATTTGGAAGCTACAATCAACATATCGTTTTATCTATACGAGCTAGTCAACATATCGTTTTATCTATACAAGCTAGTCAACATATCGCTTTAGCTTTACAAGTTGGCCAGTACGTCGCCTTCTTTTTTTATCAGTTAGTCAATATTTAGTCTTCTTTGTACAAAATAGTCAATTCTATAATTAACATAAACAAAGAAAACGTTTTATTTTTCTAGTGTTATCTGCTGTTTTCTTCAAATAATATTTATAAAGCCCAATCACAACTCTCATTAGATTCACTCTTTGAAATGCTTTTTTCTTCAACAATAAAACTTATTGAAGCAAAACTCACGTGCGGGATGATGAAGCTATACGTCATGAGTTAACTATATATACTTCAACAATAAACGTTCGGAATACTGAAGCTATACATCATGAGCTTACTATATATACTTAAGTAGTGTCATTAAAGGAAAAGAATATATCTTTTTTATTTTTACATGTCCATTTTTTATAAAAAATATATTAATCTCCAAATTAATAACAAAAATACACACAACAAGAAGGCTGTGACAAAACGTATCGCCGCCTACCTGGAAAATTCCTGCAACCACAGTGAAAATCGACAAAATGCAGATAGCAAAGAACACCTTTTTGTTCATCGTAGCAACAGTTTACCTTAAAAAGAAAATTAAACTAATTTATTTACATAAAGTACAGTCCCACACATATATTATTTTATGCAAGAATAGAAAAAACACACACACATATATATATAAATATATTTAATCACTTTTATGCCGTTACTTTGAAGAAAACTTACTAACAGTAATCTTTAATGACAGTTTAAAATTATTTAATGTTTAACCCTTGTAATTATTTGCAAGTACAGTGAATGTTTTAAAAGGATACAGTTCTACGCTTTGATTGGATCGTTATTGTTGTATTCAGTTTATTAGCACAAAACTACCCAATGACGAGCCGTACCTAATGTTAAATTAACATAGACTGCAGGGAAAAAAGGCTAGTCAACACTATCTATCTTCAACTGTTGAGATACTTCAGTCCAATAGAGGGATTTGATCATCACTCTTATAACGCACCCACAACCCCAATGTATGGAGAGCAATTCTGCTGCAACAGAATGTGAACCATGGATCCTCGGTTTTACAGTTCAGCATGCTAACGACAAGGCCTTTTCCGGGCCCACTAATTTTAAATTTATACACTAGAGGGAAGACACTTAGTCAACAACACTCACCACCGACTCTTAGGCTACGATTTTCTGACCGAAGAGTGGGGCTTGAGCATTACTCTTATAGTGCACTCAAGGTCTCAAAGCGTTTTTTTTTTCTTTTGTCGTGTGTGTGTGTGTGGAAACGGGACGCGAACAGTGAAACATCGGATTCACAGCCCAAATACACTAACCACTGGACTACGCCACGCCAAACTAAATCGTTCTAGCTGTCCCGTGCATCAAATTAGCCTAATTCATGGTTTTAGACAGATCTGATTATCTGGTTAATTGGAGAAAATTTTATGTATCACATCTGCAAAACACCTTAATATATTACTTAATCTTCTTTCTCGTATTGTAGAAACTCACTAGTTTGTAATTTTGTTTACACAAAGTTAAAATATTATCCCCAGAAAGTTATAGTATTCGTGATCAATTTTGTATATTACAGTAAACTAAATAAAGAAAATGCAATGAGGTACTACATACTAAACTATAACGTATGTTATAAACTTTTGATTTGTTGTACTCACTTTTACTGATCCTAGGAGGAAGCTTTCAATATGGTTCTGCAATTAGTCTGTTAGTCCACAGTTGATCGACTGTTCATTTTATAGGTAATCTCTGACCCACGTGACAGAGTTTCTGATTTTGCATTTAGTGAAAACAAATCATAATAACGTAATTTTATTCATCAACAAGGGCTGTAGTTGGGTCACGGGGTTAAACTATGCATTGTTCTATATTCATTTACCGACAAAATTGTTCCTTCCGCGTCTACATTTGTTGCGTAGAGTTGTTGTTATGCAAAACTCCTTACATACCGGAGTTGGTAGAACAATGAACTGTCTGAAATAGTCAATAGGGGATTTGTGAGATCCTTTCGTGTAACGTGAAAGAGGGAAGGTTTGATTGTTTTAGCGCAAAGCTACACAATAGCCTATCTGCGCTCTGTCCACCACGGGGGAATCAACACCTGGATTTAACGTTGTAAGTCTGGAAACTTACTTTTAACCCACAGGGGGACAAAACGAATTATTCCAGTGACTTTAAGTTAAACACAAGATAACAGAACAAGAATTTCTTAACTAGATTTCAGTTTGCCAGATTTGGTATATATTTTAATTGAATTTAAAATTTGAATACCCGACAAAATTATTTATAATTTAATATTTGAACTTACCTTTTCTGTATAGAATACAATTCCTTGTGACAATGATGTTGATAAATAAAAACATCCTCCAAAAATATATTGAACAATTTCTTGACTTGAGGAGAAGAAGGTAAGCTGATTTTTGCTGGCTGAGGAGTGCTTGAGACTGGTATTGACAGTAACCTCGAAGTCTTAATTAGATTTATTTTCCAGTTTTATGAAATAAGGTAAAGCACGCATACCAACAATACTGAGACATAATCCAAACATAGCTCAGTACGCAAATCTAATGTTGCAGTTGAAGCAAATACAGTTGGTCCTGCTAAACTGAAACAACTCGAAATCCCAAATTCCCATTTTTCTTCTTATTGTTGCCCCCAGTGGCACAGCACTACGTCTGCGGACTTACAACGCTAGAAACCGGGTTTCGATACCCGTGGTGAACAGATCACAGATAGTCCATTGTGTAGCTCTGTGCTTAACTTCAAAAACAAACAAACTCTTATCGTTAGTTTTATATTTTTTAAACATACGGATTGCTATTAGCCTTAAAAGTCAGTTGTTAATTAGTGATGAATTGTAAAAGCAAGGTCAACTAAGACAGAAATTTAATAATGATATTGACAAATGACGTAAATAAAACATTAAACATCTTTACAAAGCTGAAGTCGTATCTTCTAAAATATCTATTACTATATTTCTGATATTAGTGCGCCGTCTTTTTGTGCCTTTAAGTCATTAAAATGTTACTTAACAATACTCTTATAGATGAAATCAGCAGAGTATTAAAATGCTATTTAACAATACTTTTGTAAATTATTTCAGCAGAGTATTAAAATGTTATTTAACAATACTTTTATAGATTATTTCAGCAGAGTATTAAAATGTTATTTAACAATACTTTTATAGATGATTTCAGCAGAGTGTTTATGATGAACAAACAATGGTTATTAAGTTTTTTTATTTTGATTAAACAGTATAAAAAAATAATAGGGTGAATGAAATTGAATGGCCTGGAATTTTGTGTACCATATAATGAAAATGTAACAATTGAAATATGTTTTAATTTTATTTGGAGGTAATAATATCTAAAAACACGTAATGTGTTTCTTTGATATTTACCATTTAATAAGAATATTTATTTTGAAACTTTAAAACAAGCCATGATGATGTGCATGGGTTTATTAAGTTGGGAGAAAAAAATTCTGATAGGAACAGTATTCTCAATGATAAACTAAATGTATTATCTTTTTGAGATAGAAAAACTTTCTATTTTATTTTTCTTAATCATTTGTAGACACCAAAAAAATTATAAAATTGACTTTCCATTAAATTCCAATCTTTTCGGCTTATAATTTCAAACTAGATAAACACTTAGTTCGATATTTCAATCACTATAAGAATCAAGCTTTTTTATAAAAATAATATGATAGTCACTTTTGATGTGAAATATTTCTTCACACAAAGTCCCTTTTTTCTGCCAGATTGTTTATTATACTCTTGAAACTTTACATTCAGTAATCGTCTTCTAGATCTATGTTTAGCTATTCAGTAATCGTTTTCTAGATCTATGTTTAGCTATTCAGTAATCGTCTTCTAGATCTATGTTTAGCTAAGGTAGGAACTGTGAAAAAAATTGCTTCTTCTCATAACAGCTTTCAGTTCGGTGGTGTTTTTGCAATCAAATTGAACGGTTAATCACTAGAAACACAAGTTTGCGATCAAATATGAAGAAAGAAGCTAGTTAAACTTTTCTCATATTCCAAGGTTTTATTATGTTAGATATTTACTAGTTTTTCTACAATATTTTACTTATTAAAACGTATTTAACTGGAACTTATCTTTATTACACAAAACGTCCCATTCGTTAATGTCTTAATTCAGAAACGCAATGAAAGGTATCAAAAACGGGTATCAAACCCCAGATTCTAGCGTTGTAAGTCCGCAGACATACCGCTGTGCCACTGGAGGGGGGGGGCAAATAACATTAAAGTAACATACCTAAAGATAATTCATGTGATCATATTAAGAAAACCATCCAAACGAATATATATC